CTTAAAAAAAAAAAAAGACAGATTTAGTCAATAGGTCTAGGGATTGTAAGGAAAATTGGTATTTCCCTTTGTCTCTGCCCTTCGTAGTGGTTTATGAAAATGGAACTCCATAGGGTTGGTGGATGGGGGCCTGCTAGTAAGTCTGCTAGACAGAGCAAGAAAGCGGGCAGAGAGAGATTGATTTTAGTCATTACTGAGAAACTGAGTTAATAATTTTTCTATTATTTTACTATAAAGACCATCCTACAATAAGTATCACTTTGCATAATGATTTTTGGGACAATGTTAAATAATTTATTCACACATTAATTTAAAGGCTGTTTACATGTTTTCTAACATTATCCCCTTAAAAAGAGAAAAAAAGTATATTTACATGAAAACAAGCACATTTTAAGACAGTCTTGTGTATTTCAAAGATATTTCCTGCACATAATAAGTTTGTTTACTCTCCTCTGCTTTAGGGCCTCTTTTCATTCATAGACAAACCCAACAGACATTATTTAGTAATTCTTACAAAATTCAAAGAGAGGAGGGTAGATGTGAAACCAGGTAACTCCTTCTGCAAAGATAAGGTGTATTCCTAACGGACTGAAGAAGAGGGAGGTTTTTAATACTGAACTTTTCTGATTTTGGATTCCAGGTCTGCAATACCTCCTGTATGTTATGTTGGGCACTCTACTGGGAACTCTATGATTTGAAGTGATGCTCTGAAGTTACCTACCGGGGAGAGGAATATGCACACATGAGGAGAACTATGGAGACCAGGAAGTTTCTACCCTGGATTCCAGCCAACTGCTCAGGCACCTGTTATCCTCCCAGGGTCTGAGTCACCTCCGCTCCTGTCCTAGCTCAACGTGCACCTAGCTGCCAAATAGAAGCCAAATTAAATAGACATAAAGCTGGAACCCCACCTTCTGTTTGAATTACTTTAAAATTTTGCCACATCCAGCTGTACTGACCCGTGCACTTTTCAATATTTCCTAACGCTGCACAGGGGTGGGACCAAGGACT